TCTAAATTCGACTATTAGTCGATAGATTATTCGGTTGGATAAATCGGATAAGTTTTTAGATTTTAATTCCGATTCATTTAATTAGTTAATGAGTCTGGAATTAATAAGTCAAGTTGACGAATTATTCGAAATATTTATGTTCGGATTAATCGTCTAAGTCAAGGATATTCGAATTAACTTTCGAATATCAGTTTCATGTTCGGAATAATATTCCGATAGTTAATCCAGTTAATGTTCCTCATGTCAAGTTCGGTTTACCTATACTGTGACGCGTACACATTGGTACACCGTCCATTGTTAATTAAGTAATGGTCATTAGCCTTTACTTAATTAACTTAATCATGTTTAAGCTAATTAATCGAGATTAGCTTAAGTTAATTATGATTAGCTTAATGTTAATTAAAATTAATTAACATTAATGAGGATTAATTAGCAAATTAATCATATTATTATGTGTAATCCGTGTGACTTTTTCAAGTTGGGGAAGAATTATTTCCTCATTATTTTGGGATCAACACGTGGCATCATTAGGAGATGCTTAGTCATCCCAACTTAGCTAGTAAAGCAACAAGTGTAAGTCTCATTATTCCAACAATTTTCATTTCTTTCTCTCGGCTTATGTTAAGAGGGGTTGGGTCCGATTTCTTTTCCCCGCTTTTTCTATTACAAGTTCAGCATCAAAGAGAGAGTCTTTAAATTAGAAAGTGAAGGAGATCATATTCGTTCAAGTAAATAAGAAGAAGATATCCATCGCTGCACCGCTATCGCACGGCAAGTCATGCAACCGCGGAGCAAGAAGAGCTTGATCAATTGGTGTGATTTTGATCGAGTAATTCAGAGGTAGATCGTCCTCACCCTCCTTTTCAGTTCAATTAGTTCAGTTATGGCTGAAGTGTACAGTTAAGGTTTCGAAATTCCAAATTATGTCATGTTAACTTCGGTTTAGGCCGTAGTAGGTCGAGATCGAATAAGCTTTGATTTTTCTTCCGGTAACCCATGTAATTTTAAGAGTTCTTTGATAAATTAGCCTTATTCAATGGAGTTAGTTGTTTTAATATTCAGTTCTTTGGGTTGCTGGATATATATTGTGTTAATTAGATGGGTTCGGCCGAGAGGATGGTCGCGCACTTCGCGTGTCCACGGGCCGAGCAAGGCATTAGATCATGTCAGGGATAACCAACAGATTTTCAGGTCTTTCATTCATTAAATGTTATGATATGTTCAAGTAA